CTTCCATTCATTCTCTTCTGGCGACCTATTTATGCTGCTGCTGTTGCTGCTGCTGCTGCTGCTGCTGCTGGTATTTTGAGTTGTTTCTATGTCTTGCTGCTGCAGCACCGGGGTGAGGCGTGCGCCCTCTGCGTCGACCCTGGGGCTTCGTTCTTCTTCAGATGCATTTCTGCTGCTGCAGCTGCTGCAGCTGCTGCAGCTGCTGCTGCACCTGCTGCAGTTGCTGCAGCAGCTGTCTTCATCACTCTCCCTGCTGCTGCAGTCATAGTGGCAGCAGCTGCAGCAGCTGCTGCTGTCGCTCTCATACTCGCATGCATGCATTTCCTCTCTTATATTCTGCTGCTCCTGCAGCTCCTCATCTCCCCCGTATTCAAACCCACCAAACGACCAACTATAAACACCCGCCCCAGGGGCCCCCTCAGGGGCCCCCTCACCGGGGGCCCCCCCTATGGGGGCCCCCTCAACGGGGGCCCCCTCCAGGGGGGCCCCCTCAGAGACGTCCTCATAGGCCCCATCAAAGCCCCCATCAACAGGGGCCCCCTCTAGGGGGCCCCCCTCAAGGGGGCCCCCGCCGTGAGGGGCCCCCATGGGGGCCCCCATAGGGGCCCCCATAGGGGCACCCCCAGGGGCCCCCTCCATAGCGGCGTGCATGGGGGCCCCCTGAGGGGCCCCCCTCATGAGGTTCTGTGCGGGGGGCCCCCTAGGGTTTAGTGTTGCAGGCGAGGGGGGGGCCCCCTCAAGAGGAAAGGCCTCGCAGTCTAGCCACTGAACAGCATCCTGCTGCGGGTTGGGTACTAGGGGTATATCTATGTGGATATGGGGGCCCCTGGGGCCCCCATAGAGCGGTGCTGCAGCAGAGAAGAAGGGGTTGCTGCTGCTGCTGCTGCCTGGGGGGCCCCCGCTAACACCATATGCTGCTGCTTCGGTAGCTAAACAACCAAAAGAAGCAGCAGCAACAGACAGACGGGTTGCATGCAGCTGCTCATCTAGGGGGCCCTCAAGAGCAGCAGCAGCAGCAGCAGC